AATTCTGATCTTGCTTCAGTCGTGATCTCAGCAGGGGTCTTCGGCTACTATTTCTCAGATTCAGCTTTCACTCACTATGACCTACAGTGGGGAGCTAGTAATATTGATCCATCTACTGTCGCACAAATTGCAAAGATAAGGCATGGTGAAAGCTTTGAATAGCAAAAATGCACTTTTATCAGCTTTGAACAGCACAGGGTTATCAGGCACAGCATTCGTTCAAGTTCTGTCAAAAATGGATTTGAAAACTGGTTGGTTGACCATGAAAGACCGCCTAGAATTAAGACACTGTAAAAAGGCTCAACCCACAGACAAAACTGTAATTTGCTGTATACATGTGTTCATAAGGTTTGAGAACTAAAGCAGCTCTATCTATGGCAGTTAACCAGATGTCTGGACAGCTGCAATATCATGCTCAGTGTACTCAGAGTACCCTTCTACAGCTGTAGCTACTGAATTAAACTCTACTTCACAAATACCATGAGCAACTGGGGCTATAGAACTCCACAACAGCTTCTAGATTAAAATGACAATTCAACAAGCAAATCTAACATGTAACTATTTTTCCATAATTTACTCAAAGCAAAAAGCTAATCTGCCATGAATACTCCAGAATAAAAAGTTATAGTGCTGCAATTAAATCTCCCAGAACCAAATCCACTATTTTCTTGATGATCTACTTAACAATGAGTCAGTTTATCAAGTATTCCGGGAGGTAAGGGTGAAATAACAAAGCAAGTTGAACCCTGTCACCATACCAGTGTGAAAAGCAGGGACAAACCCATTACTAACTGGTTTCTCCACCCAATCTTTCCTAGTCAACACTATTACTTTAGTTTTTCTGCTGCTCTTAATTCATAAGAATGGATATTATCAGCACTTACGATAAGGCAACAGCTTTCAAGGACTACAGTTAGTCTTTCCAATTAATTTTTTTTCTTATAATCAGAGAAGGATTCTTGACTCCAACTCCAAGTAACATTTCAATGTGACAGTCTAATAAGACATAGGTTTAAGAGGATGCACAAGATTCAATATCTGGCAAAAACAGCTGGGAACAGCCCCCTCTCTTGATTCCTTACCAATAACATCATCTTGCTGTCAGAGAGTAGTGGGCTGCTGCTTTCAGCTGTCAAGTAAATCAAGGGTTCACACCATGTAGTGTCAAGAGTCAACTCTAGCTACATTCCTTAAGGGGTCCACCATTAACCTAAGGAGAAGTCTATGCTCTGTCCCCCACTGCTAGATCCTGAACGCCACAACATTCAGTATTAAATTTCACCAGTGTAACCTTAAGTAAACACACAACAAAACCCCAACTGAAAATCAGTAATATATTCTTTCAAATTATTAGCTCAGTGAGCTGGGAACTTGGTTGTGGAGCCAGAAGCTGGGAGTTTGATTCCCTACAGTGCACCTCAGGAGAAAAGCCAGCCTGCATAGCCCAGGGCTAGATGTACAACCCAGAGCAACCCACAGAAGAAGGGAACAGTAGACCATTTCTGAATACTCTATCATTAGAAAACCTTGGCAAAGGGTCATCATAAGTTGGAGCTGACTTGACAGTACTCAATAAACAATAATAACTATGGTACAAAAGCACATTTTTAAAAAGTGCCATAATACATCTGTCCTTCTATTATCAGACTCTAAGGAAGCAAGAACGCATGTAGGCATATGGCTACAAAAGCTGGTAGAATGAATTCCTGTCCAGAGAGCTCCTGAGGCTAATGCAACGGCCTTGCAGGAATAAACTCTGAACAACTGTTGGCTGGACTTCTCTGAACAGCTGCCATATCACAGTTTTGAAACTTCCCACAGTTTCACAAGCAGTTTGCCACGAAGGCTGGGCAAAGGGAGGGTAAACTGTGTCTCAAAGCCGAACTGGACTGGAGGGATTACCTCTGGATTCTAGCCATCATGAAACAAAGAAACTTGTAATTCTGTGCATGGTAATTGTAGTAATGGCAGGAGAGGAAGAAAAGAGAGAGATGTAGACTTGGCTTTGTCCTAAACATATAATTAGCATACCTAACAATTTCTTAATGATGATAAGAAACCACAAAGATGAGAAGAGGGAGAGGAAAGAAGAAATGACAGGAAACACAGTTTTAAAGGATCATAGAAGGTCAAAAGGCAGCAACCAACAATGAAGGTACTTTATGTTTTTCAAAGATAATTTAATGTCATAATAATTTAAAAAGGACCAGAGACTGACCCCGGACGACAGGGCATCCACCTCTAGTTTAACGCACGAGTGCCCACAGTACATTCTTAACGTAGCAAGATTTTATTAAGAGTTGTTCACAGAGCCAACCGAAGCAGAACTGTTCAATTTGCTTCCATTCTTACACCCAAAAAAGTACTTTTTGTCAGTTATCAAACTGAAGAGGGAGGGGGAAGTATATCAAAGATTCATATACATATACATACACATATACACACACAGAGAGAGAATTAATCAGTGGCCTAACACAAACATTCCATCCAAAGTGTACCAAAGCTGAAAGCAAAGGCCAAAGGTACTCCAAAACAAACAAAAACGAGTCTCATGTTAGAAATTCGAATAAGGGCTCTTGTTTGAAAAAAAATTTACTCTGGAAATACAGTATTTTGAGAAGAATCAGGGGCAAACATCTATGTGGCAAATTTCAGCACTGCTCTGTTATATATGCAAAACACAAGAGGGATACCTGTTTCTTCAGAATGATATGGTGATGCAAGAACTATGTTAACACAGATAGAACAAGCTGTGCACACACAGTTACTGTCTGGTAACTGACCTATACATTGTTGAAGGAATACTACATACAGTACTTATTTGTGTGTGATGCACAGACCTTTGGAAAGAATCAGGCATTTAGTGAATAGCACACCTTTCTTCCTTCCCTAGGAGAGGCCATGGCAAAGCAAATTAGTGATCAATAACTGCTGTGCATTTATCAAGGGACAAATGCCTATGAATGACATGAAACCTGCTTATGACATCTAAACAACCACCCCCTCCATGCTAAGAGACCCTGTAAACCCTGTTTTTAACTTAATATTTTAATCCCTTTCTTCCACAGAGATGGGAAGGCCTTGAAAAAACCTGAATAAATTGGGGGGAGGGTAAACTAGCCTTTTCCATTTTTTGCCAAAGCCACTTTTTAATTTTTCTAGAAAAACTGAAAAAATATGGAGTGTGGAATAGGTTATTTTACAATGATAATATGTCTATGATATAGTATTCAAACATGAAGGCCTTAGTTAAAGACTTCTGAGACTTTATGTAAGTTCTCTGAAAATTTCCATTTTTTCCAGAAACTTCCATTTTTGGGGGAGAAAAACAGTGAAAAAACCTTTTTCCCAATAAAATTGAAATTTTACATCTTTGTCCTTATACTGATATTAGTAGGCTCATATTGTGTATGAACCAACGATCAAAAAAATAAAAGTGTGGCATTATTAAGAACAGGGACTGCACTCATTTTATACACCACCTGTTTCCATCTAATACCGCCCATGTTGGAACTGTGACATAACCTGGCACAGAAGCAGATTAGCAAAGAGCACTTTGAGTTTAAGCCATTCAAACTATACTCAGCAAAAGGCTTCAAGTACCTATGCAGCTCAGATTTCAGAAGAACCCAACACTTGAAAGTTAAGGATGCTCTTGGACTTCAGTGATCCCATCCAGATTAATCGGAAGATCATCTCAAAACATAATTGCATTTAACTTCTAAGCCATACAAAAACAGGATACACAGTCAACCAAAGACTGCCCCGGAACAGGCCGACAGGGAGAGACTTATTTTCCTCTCTCACCATCTACTTTCCCATCTCATCCTTAGAAACTAAGCAGTCTTTTATGAACTGCTCTTAGCCACAAATATTTTTCAGGCCACAGTTGTTAAGAAACTGGTATAGAAGACCAGTCTTCATTTTAACCATGAGAAAGTGGCGGGGGGGAGGGGAGAGAATCTATATACAAGTCACCTGCCAGCTGTTTTCTTACATAAGTCATTTCCCCACACCCCTTTTAAGGCACACTCAAGTTGTTTTCCCTATTTGCAAACGGAGAGAAAAAAGAAGAAACAAAAAGGTAAGGGAACACCTTCTCTTTTAAGGCTAAGAAATTTTATTTGCCTTATACTACCACGCCGAGTGACAGCATTGACGGCTGAAGACAAATCTAGCCATATTAGTCAGCCAGGAGAACGGGCAAGACAGGGCTGCTCTTTGCTTACAAACCGGTATTCTTTGGAAACAATCCATCCAATTAATAAAAACAAGAGCTATTTTTTTGGGGGGGGGTGTTGGGGTACAGCTTCCCAGCTTGCGCTTCCCTCTTTAGAGTTGGTTTTCCTCCTTCTCCAAGGGAGACCCATAGGTAACACACACACACACACCTCTCCCTCATCAAGTGTCTCTGCTCGAGAACCTGAGGAAGTATGATTTCTCTATGAAACCTTCCTCCCGGGCAGCCATAATAAACGAAGGGGCTTCGAGGTGGGTGGGCTGGTGGTTTTTTTGTTTTTTGTTTTTTTTTTGGGAGGCACAAGGAAACTCCAGAGGAACTGCGAGCCCGGCTCTGCACCGGAGGGGAGAGCCCGGAGAAGCCGACCGAGGAGGCTGACAAAAGAAATCGCCCGGCGACCGCGGAGGCACTTTGAAACCATCCGATCCCCATCCCAAGCGCCGAGGAGGCGAGGGGAAGCGGGGTGCCCTCCATGGCGAGGAGCAAGAGGACGTGAGAAGCGAAAAGGACCGGCGAAAAGACGCCCAAGGAAAACTCCTGCAACAGGTGATGTGCCATTCCGGGAGGCACACAAAGCCGGGAGGCACCGAAGCCACCGGCACGGCCACTCGGGGGAAGACACCCAACGGAAGAGAGGATTGCCCACGGGAGAGCGGCGGGAAGGAAAGGCTGCTTCCCGCAGCGGCAGATGGTGCAGGACCCATCCCGTCCCGACCCGGGTGCCGGAGGCACAAGGAAACCCCCCCCCCCGTCCCCTTACCTTGTAGACATTCTCGGTGATCCGATGCACCTCCTCGGAGCGCGACATGGCGATGCCGGGGGCTTCGGGAAGCACCATAGACCAGTCAGGGGCGAAAAGCTCAGCCGTGAGCGCGGCGGAAGAAGCGTCGCCCACCGCCACGAAGCTCCGAGTCCGTCGCAGGCGGCGCGGCAGGGAAAGGCGAGACGCTTTTATACTCGCTCCCAGAGCCGCGCTCATTTCCAATGATCCCTGTGGTGTCCTTCCTTCCATGTACTGTACAAATATGGCTGCTCCCACTTTGCTTTAAAAATGTTACAGTATCTGGTTTTCCTTTTTTCAAAACCGAAGCCGCCTCCGCCTCCTCCCGCCCCCGGCCCCGCCTGCTCTGCCCTGGCGGTCGCCTCGAGGAGTACAGCCTGGAAAGGAAAGAAAAAAGGGCGGGGAAAGGGAAGGGAGAGGCGGCGAGGCGAGGCAAGGCAGGGAAGAGGAAGGAGGCGGAGAAGCTGGAACCACGCACAGCCCACACCGCGGCGGCGGCGGCAGCAGCAGCAGCAGCTCTCCGCTGCCCCGTCATGGGCTCCGCACACGTCGGGGGCGGGAGAACAAATCCGCCCTCACACATGCCGCCCCTGGCGGAAAAAAAAAGGCGGCCGAGCCGTGTTGTGCCCGCGCCCGCCCACACAGGGGCCGAGGACGCACACGGTGCGGGAGAACGCTCTCCGCGGGGAGAGCACAAAGCTTTCGGTCCCCTCATGTAGCCAGACTACCTTTATCAAAATGTCAAACCCTTCTTATCCTCTCTCTCTTATGCTGTTGGGTTGCTAAGCCCGACTGGGGAGCCCATTCACACCGCAGGCATGCGGCTCAGCCAGCCTCTCCTGACTGACTTCCCCACAGTTGCTACGGTCTGCACTGCTCAGTGAGGAATTTATTTACACAATTCAAGAGGAAGAGGGGGGGTGCCGCTGAATCGCGCCACACTCACACGCACACCCCAAGGCACACAACACACACTCATCGAATGAAGTATGAAAGAAGGTAGCCCGGAGCTCGCGTCTCCAGCAATACCACACAATCACACAACATGTTGCTACCTGAGGACTGTCAGCAAGTGGCACAGATGCCTACACAAATACAGATACAGTGTACACAGTACAGTACTTAAAAGATAGTCACGTTATTCGGGCACATGAGACAGAAAATCCCACAAGTGCCTCTCCCCCTCTTTATCATTACCGGTGAAAACACAGTTAACAATAAGCAATTTAACAATAAGTGACCTTCTCATGACACTCAGGATCGGATGACTACAGGGCTAGCTCTGATACCTGTATGCCACACTACGCTTCTTCAACCACATCCTATTCAGGCAGCATAGGGTAAGATGAGGGCAGGCACATGCCCTCCCTCCCCTCATCTTAGATTTTAGATTTAAGCATCCTTCGGTCTCGAGAGAGACTGTGGTAACATGCTCTGTATGGAGGTCTTGGAACAGCATCTAGTGTGGCTGAGAAGGCCAATTCGAGAGTGACACTCCCTTCCACACTGAGGACAAATCCAATCTGTCCCCTGTCCAGCTCCCTGATTTTACTGCTTTTGTGACTTCCTCTTTGCCTTGGCCTGCTGGACAAGGGTCTCTTCAAATTGAGAGAGGCCATGATGTACCGCCTGCCTTCAGGCTGAATGCTCAGATGTCAAGGCTGCTCATCTCTCCTCATCACAACCTCCACAAAACAGAGCTTAATTTGAAGCAGAGCTCTGTGGGGTTTCCTTGGCAAATTTCTCTTTCATGCCAGACTCTTCTCCACTGCCATAATGTAACACTATTGAAGACAGTAATATATACTTTCCCAGATACTTGGGGTCATCTTAGAAAACTTCTAGGCATTAAGTTCTCTTGTTACAAAATAAGAGCTACTCACTGTGCATTGGCCACCCATTTTACATTTTACTGCATGAGGCAAAGAGCAAGATGGCACCACTCTTCCAGTCCATGTGCAGCAGCTGACAAGGTTGACAACTGACTCTTACCTCAGCACCAGCAGTAAGATGGCTTATTGAGCTGCATCAGAGGGCAGCAAAGTAGTTTAGTGGGCATAGGTCAGGAAGACACATAATACATACCCTTCAAACGTCCTTCTGGCATTCAGGACTCCATGTTTCATGTTGTCAGGTTTGCATTTGCTACCTGAGGCAGTCACCTTGCAATGCACAATGGTAGAGCTGTCTCTGGTAGAGAAGAAGAAACATGAATTCCCATGTCGCTCCTTCCCCTTCCTGAGGACAACAGCCTTAGGCACCCAGCACTCAAAATGAAAGGTGCTCTCCTCTTCTTTCGAATACCTTTAGTCAGCAACTAGTTTTACTGCAGGGCCATTTTGAAAAGGAAGGAGGAGGCTGTCAGACCAGTGTCTTAATTTCAAACTCTAGGGTGGTCTTCTAATCTCTAGCAGTTATGCCTTATTCTACTTTTTTTCCTAATTGCCTAGTATAGGAATGCCTATGAAGAAAAAAAAATTATCCTGAAAGCAACAAATTTCTCCTAGCATTTTCTCTTTACTAAGGAAATTTTGTTTTAGCCAGGTATGTAAGGGATAGGATAACTTGAGTTGAAAAGATTGTTCTAAACACTTGGATGAACGGATTAAGGTATAAATCAAAACTGGTATCAGGGCGTATTGGCAATGAACAAGCAAAGTGAACAGCCAGAAATGGGCATCATTTGGAAGGAGACCCTGTTCCTAAACAGTAAAATTGGAAGGGGAAGCAAGAAGGGTGCATCTTCTGTTGAACAAACAATGCCGAAGGCTTGAGGTGTTCGTGTTTGCCATAAGAATGGGATACTCAAGGAGAAACAAGCTAGCTGGGAATGTGGGTAGTGGATTGATTTAAAATCTCATCACTTAATGTCAGAGGACTGGGTTCAACAGTAAAGCCATATAGAATCTTAAAGACTGTCAATGTAAAAAGCCTTGGGAATCTTATAAAAAGAAGAAAATGCAGGTGTTGTTAAATAAGGATAAACTGGATCTATTTTTACAAGAGACTCGCCAATTAAAAGAGGATGTAAATGACTTTCCACTGATTTGGTCTGGTATTTATGAAAAAGCTTATAGAAATTCAGGGTCAAGAAGGGTTGCCATTATCTCTGTGAAATATGAATTTAAAGTGAACAGAATGAAAAAAGATAATAAAGGTAGATATCTAGTATTACAAGATACAATAGGAGAATAATAATATACTTTAATTAATTTTTACTCTCCCAATGAAAATCAAGTTTTTTTTTTCAAGGAAGTGTTTAAAGAATTGGAAGAAACACAGAAGGAATTTGCAATAATGGCAGGGGATTTTAACCTAGTATAGATAAAGGGAAAGATAAATCAAACCCTACTAGAGATGAGAAAAATAATATCACAGTTTTGAATAGAATGATATGTAGAACTGATTTGAGAAATGTTTAGAAAATTATGAAAGCATGTGAAAAGGAATGTACTTTTTAGCCTTCAATCCATAAGAGTTACTCTAGGATAGACTATATATTTATATCTAAAATTTAAAACACCAGTGAGAAAAACATGAAAATGGTTGAGGAAGCTTTTTAAAATAAAATTGTTGGAGAATAAATATTTAATAGTTAGAGATTTAAAAAATCTGTTCAAATTACAAGAAAAAAGGAAAGTATATTCGCGAAGGCTTTCACGGCCGGGATCTAATGGTTGTTCTGGGTTTTTTGGGCTCTTGGCCGTGTTCCGAAGGTTGTTCTTCCTGACGTTTTTGCCAGTCTCTGTGGCTGGCATTGACTTTGCAAGTTGGCCAAATCAGGAATAATGAAGGGCACCTACGAAAGTATTAGAGAATATTGAAATGGAGAAAATTAAGAGAAATTTAATATATTTGAAAATAGAATTTTTTGAATTTAGTACTAAAAACTCAAGAATACTCGCTAGAGCCACATGTCAATAAAGCTAAGAGTGTAATTGAAGTTACAGCGTTTATCCACTTAGTTAAAGATGAATGGGTAAAAAATGTAATTTGATGAAGGAGAAAATGGAAGTCTTTTGATGTTTTATCAAAAATTATGTACTGGAGGAAGCCCTCTTTTGAAAGAATTAGAGAATATATTGAGAAAAAAATGTGGAAAAGACTTCAAGATATGGATAGATATTTAAAGGAGCAACCAATTATAAAAGAAGAGACTGAGGAAATTACTAATAAATTAAAAGTAGGAAAGATTCCAGGAATGGATGGGTTGGGACCAGAGTACCATAAAACTTTCAGGAAAATGTCAGTAACTAAATTAAAGATTCTTTTTAAAAAAATTACAGAAGATGAAAAGTTTCCAAAATTGAATAAGGAGATGCAAAGATACTTATAGCAACGTTGGCAAAGAATTAATCATTCTGTTTATTACTAAGTATTAGTAATAAATAATGTTTTATTATTTATTAATAAAAAGTATAAAAAGTAACAATTAGTACTAATTATTACTAAGTACATTAAAATATAAAAACTGTTTTATAATGGGAAGAAAAATGGCAAATTGGACTAGGAGAGTGTTAAATTGTAATAAATGTAATAAAAAACAAAAGATGAAAGCAGGAATAAATTCATTGGATATTTTCAGCTCATCAGATTACATGAAATGGCCAACATTAAAAATCATAATAAATATTAGATGTGAGAGAGAAATTCAAAGTTATGATAGATAGCCACCTAGAGTGGTCATATAGACCAGATGGGCAGGATATAAATAAGTAAATAAGTAAATAAGTAAATAAGTAAATAAGTAAATAAGTAAATAAGTAAATAAATAAAATCAATTGTATTCAGAGAACACCACAACAGTATTAATAAGTGGTGGCATACCAGAAGAGATGTTCCAAAGCCACAGTACTAGACAAGGATGCCCACTTTCCTCAATATTGTTTGCTTCAATTATAGAACTACTTGCAAATATCATTAGATAAATTAATTTGTAGCATAGGTACTAAAAAGAGAGTTAAAATTCATTTATTTGCTGATGATATTTTATGTACAATAGAAAATCCATTCATGCTTATGGACAGGGTAAAATCACATTTAAAAGAATTTGGAGAGAGAACTGGATTACAGGTAAATTGGAAAATATCAGAGATGAGGATGTTTAATTATAATAAGGATAAGAAAAGAGATAATTATTTAAAAATGATATTAATCTTCAAAAGG